GGAAGGAAGGAAGGAAGGAAAGAAGGAAGAAAGGAAGGAAGAAAGGAAGACAGACAGACAGACAGACAGAAAGAAATAAGTCATCCACACAGACTTCAAGCAGTTTAAATAGGACAGTGGCCAAGATCATGGTGCAATAATAGCAAGATCTAGACTAATATAACTGATATATCTGATATATCACCTTTTTCAGCTTAAAGAAATTGCCAACAAAACATCCGAGCAATTTGTCTTTGTTGGAGACAAGTTTGATTCTTTAAGAGGCCTAATCAAGACGGTGAGTACATTTGAGTATATTTGTTAAAAATCTTTGTAACGATCACTTGGTGGAAATCACGTGGGTAGCGAGACGATTCTGCTCGTCCAATAGGAATACTGGGACACAGTCACTACACGACACGGTGCATGGATTATTTGATTTAACATTGTTTATCTGCTCTCTCATCGTATTCTAATCATTGAATGATTTGCAGATTATTGAAAAGGCGTGTATTGAAATAGTTTCAGCCGACCCTTCTGAAGTCTGCATCGGTGGTACGTATTCAAAGTAGTAAATAGCCCCCTTCCGAGGTATGCTTCGCTTGTCACACACAAAGGTTTCAATGCGAGGCTTCGTGGATAATGCCCAGCGATTCGTGACAGGAGAATTTAATTTAGCACGTAGCCTCGTACTGGAACCTTTGTGCGTGACAAGCGATGGATATCTCGGAAGTGGGTTATTCATAGAATCACATCAGAAACTGCATGTAAGAATAAAATATTTCAAAATTTTAGTGCAAAGATGATATCCCTATAAAGATGTATTGACACTGAAAACAAAAGAACCTTGTCTGGAAATCTGAACCAAAATGCTTCTTAAACTTTTAGTTTTTGTTTTTTACATTCACTTTGCCAAGCTCTCAACCTACAGTCAACTCTCGTTTTGTGGACACCCCGATATTATGGACACCTTGTTATTGCGGACAGGAGAAAAATCCCCGACAAAAATACTGACAAAGATATGATCGTAAATAATTCTCCCTATTGCGGACGCTCGCTATTACGGACACCATGTGATGGTCCCGAGGGTGTCCGCTGCAGCGAGAGTTTAGCGTACACGGTCATCTTAGCCTGCGCGTAGCGGCGCTCTAGGGGATTGGGGAGGGTGAAGGGGGAAGGAGAGAGAGAGAGAGGAAGCTCCCTCCTCCTCCCTCCCTCCCCCCACCTCCCCCTTTCCCCTCCCCCTCCCCATCCCCTACAGCAATGCTACGTTCATCTTCAGGGTAGAGAATAAGAAATACGCAAGAAAACGTGAGCAAACAGTAGAGCGATCAAATGTGCTAATGATGGTGCGTGGGGATTACTTCTTTTGAAAATGATTTTGACAATTATATTGTATTTAGTACCGGCACAGTTACAACACGCCAATTAGCACATAATAGTAATATTAATAATAATTAGTTCATTAATTATTAGTTTACTTTATCTTGTTACTTCACAGTCAATTACACGATAACGTTGTCTGGGAGAGGATTTACTAAGACAAATAACTTAGACAATGTCATCTGTAGCTACAGGTTCAACGACACGTACCGCCAAGGTAGGATTCATTCTTAATCACCCATTATTATAGATTACGTCACTCATACAGACGCCCAGTGCATTATGGGATATTAGGGACATTTAACATTAGGTTCACCGTAAACCGCTGGGAATCAGGCCCAGAAACACGTCCGCAAACACGTAGAAACACTTAGCATTTATGAAATTCAATATGGCTGCTCTTCCAGCAACAACTTCGTTATGACGTCTTGCTAAGTGTAGCAAGGGTAACTACCCTTAGTTACCGTTGCTATGTCCCACGAGCTCAACAAATTACCTAGAATATCTCAGCATTTGAAACTCTGTTCGTGGAAAATTGATTTTAAGTTGTTTCAATAGTTTTTTTATTGTCCTGCGAAAAGAATAGAAAGTTGCTTCGTAATCCTCGTAGTACTCCTTAAAACAGATACTGTGTAGTTGTTTGTGGGACGAGGTTTTAATTCCACAGGTAAAACTGATGCAACAGTGATTGAATCATAATTGTCCGAGTTGGAACCATGAATTGCTTGCAGGTGTTATAACACGCCTTTTTTTGATCATTATTTTACAGTTCAGAAACCCACGATAGTCGAACCAAACCGGTTGGTGTGTCCAGGATTCATAGTAAATGACACTGATAGGTAAATACACCTTATTCATTTGGGCGTAATGTTTTTTCTATTTCAGAACACGTGTCATTCACTTGAGAATAGCTGGTTAGTGTGCGACCTTCGATCCCTTGTGACCTCGTACGCTTGTTTTGACTTATCTCTATCCTTGGTTTTAAATTTGCTTAAAAATTTGCTTAAGGGTCGACCTTAAAGTGCCTATGACACCTAACTCAAAATTTTCGGCATTGATTCTAAATGAAGTGAATAGTTAAATGGTAAGATATTTAAATATGGTTTATCAGTGATACATCTTGGAGATATCAAGGTTTATACTTCCAATATGTTAATGATGTGAAGATGTGAAATGAAAAGATGTTTTTGCTTAGAACCTTTCTATAAACCCTGAGTAAGACAATGTTGTTTTATACAGGATGTTTTAATGCCCTAGGAAAGTTTTGCATATTTAATAATTCCTCCTTTGACTATTTTTCCCGAAATACGCTGTTAAATATCGGCCTTTGCCTTAAGCTAACAGACCTTTTGTTTGAGTGACCTCGAAACAATGGCTCCAAATTGAGGATGAACTTAATAAAATAAAGTAAATATATGAACACATCAAATCTAACCTCGACATGTAGCCATTGTTTTGTGGTCACTCTAGTAAATTCGGGGAAGGTCTTGATTCCTGTAAATCAATGGAAAATCGCAGACGGAAAATCGCAGGCGGGGGAGGTCAAAAATACGACTAAGATTATCAAGAGCATGGAGAGCAAAGCTAATGCTTTTTTTTTACAGAACGATCACTTTACAAGTGTCTGTGAATAAAGGGCTGACATTTGTGTCCAGCAATGTCACCTTGAAATCCTTGTCTTGTACAACACCAATACCTACTTCAATATCAACTTCAAATACAACTGCTGTTGTTGTTAATCGGGTAAGCCATACGTCATGCAACATTCAACAAACTCTTGGGGTGCATGTTACGTCATAGCCGTCATGTTGCTTGACTATACAAAGCATTCCTTATTAAGCTTCTATTGTTAGATCAACCAACATGGCGGCTGTTTCATTGTTATTCATATCTCAAGGGACTTTTCGGTCATGTGCATGGCTGCACTTCAAGAATAGGCTATATCAAGCAGCTTCCGGGTGCGTCCCTTGTTTCTTGCCTCTCTTTGCTAGACCTCCTCGGCTTAGGCATGTTTTCCCATTTCAGACCACTTGTCATTCCCTAGAGTATCATTTCTTTGTTTAACGGTTGCGCTTGGTTGCACATGATTAGACACATGAATATGAATATAACTCAAAGCAAGAATCTCATTCTCAAGGGAATGACACGTGGTCTGAATGTGAAAACATTACGCCTGAGCCACGAAGGTCTATAGCTATAGTTAACACAAGTAACATAACACTGAAGTGGCTTCCATATTCAAGCACTGTGATACGATGTTTGTCGTCGTTTCCATGTGTTTTGATTGGTTCAAAGAGGAAGCCATTTCACAGCCTTCATACCTCACGTGTTCCTGCATGCGTAGCGCCTAGTATGACACCATGTCTAAGTTTTTGTTCAAGCTAATTTTTTGTTTTTCCAGGGACCGCGTAGCAAAAGTAATGTTGGCTTGGCTGTATTCCTTGTGCTGTTATTCCTTTTTCTCATCTTGTTTCTTCTCTGGTGGTTCGCACCTCTTATCTGTAAACCGGTAAGAACCGCTTGACACTTGGAACACAAACATAAGCGTAACTGAGATTAATTTATCGCATATCACTACCGCAAGAACAGCAGTGGCGCGGTTCAACGGGGTCGAACTGAAAGCATGCGAAGGCACTTCTTGCAGCCGCTATACAATCCATGTATAACCCAGGAGCACAGCTCTAACCAGTTTGAATTAGTTAATAGGGTTGGTTCGAGGCGAGGGGAAAAAGACGTAACAATATATGTAGAATATATGTAGACTCGCTTTACTCGTGACTTGAACCAGATCTACTGAAGAGATATTATAGACACATTGAATACATCCCTCCTTGATAGCATTACTTGTTATTTGTTTTAGGTCCCCTAGGACTAGGGTTTTGGCTTTAGTTTATAGGTGTTTCCTGGGGAAAGAAAACAAAAGACTTGCTTTTATCCCAACCAGGGCAACCTAATTTAAAGGCGTGATTACACGGAGCGACATTTTTCTCCAACTTGTCTCGCAACGACGTTGCGACACAAGTTGCATGGAGCATTGCAGCGTGTTACCGTGTTACCAGCGTGTTACCTACCTACCAATTTGAAAAAAGTTGCGAGACAAGTCGTAGCAATTGTTGCAAAAAGTAGAATTCGTTTCTACTTTTGTCAACGATTGCGTCTCCGTTGCAACTTGCAAACACTTTTGCAGCTTGTGTCGCAACAATGTTGCGAGACAACTGAAGTTGCAGAGAAAATTGCACGTGTCTTCATGATATCTGTTCTATTCTTTCCTGAATATGTTTGGTGATTTTAAATGCGTGTTAATAAAATCGTTTGATTTTAGAAACCAAAGCCAGCCAAGTACAAACCGGCACCACCGGCACCACCACGACCACCACCTCCACAAGCCAAAAAAGTAAGCTTGAAACAAAACGTTTTACTTTGCAGAACGTCTGAAGATTGCGCTCGCATGCATTTAGGACTGGATGGCTTGACGGGCCGCAAAGGCAGTACCACTGATTCTTAAACGTGTTAAAACTGTAAAAAAACTTTGCTCAATACGAGTAGTAAGTTCTTGAATCGGAGCATCTTGATCATCTACAACAACAACATCGTTATTACTGTTATCACTGTCACTGACGTCAACACCACCACCATCATCAAAATTACAGAATAATGTTCTTGCTCATCGTTATTATTACCTTCATCATTATTACTAAGCATCATCATCTCCTTCATCTAAATCATTTGCCTCCTCTATTTGTTATAATCCTTACAAGACATTGTTCATCGTCAGCATAATCACAATCATGAGCTTGACAAAGTATTATTTTTCTAAATATTCTATCATCAGCATTTTATTGCACGATTCATCATCATCATCATGATGATGATCATCATCATAGCATTTGTATATACTATACGAGCAGCAGGTAGGGGGACTCGCGATCGATGCCAAAGATATACGGG